TGCTGAAATTGCTGGATATATTAAAGAAATAGTTATATAAGTATTTCCACTTAATAAAGTCATGATTTCTTCAAAGCCACTTAAAATATCATTCAACTCATCTAAAAAAGCCCATTTACTGTTAGTAAGCATAATATGTGCTAATCATTCTCCATCCTTTCGAACAGTTGCATTTTCATCTGATTGAAGCTGCGAGAGAAGATATATTATTGCTCTTTTTAATTGAAGCAATCTTTCCCAAGCATAAAACGACGAATTCCATCATGTAGAAATATCCCCAATTATTGATAATTTTTTTTGAAATCCAAGGTCTTTTTGCACAATAAGGATATTCAGAATGTTTTAGTGAATGATTAAAAAAATCTATCAATCTTTTTATACATAAAATTAAATGTTTAACTACATTAATCCTCTTCCAACAGAAAGTTGGAGTACATGTGCTGTGCAAGGAATTCTATTGAATCCTAGCAATTGGGTCACTTTTTTTATATTTGACCCATTGTCAGTGATAATTGCTGTCATTTTATTAATTAAACCCCATTCTGTTAAAGTCTGATTCAACACTTCAGCAATAACTTCACCCATATGAGGGTATAAAACGTGTTGCAAAAGAAGAAGAGCTTCTTTAAATTCCCAGGATTCAAAAATCCAAGAGCATGTAATTCCAATATATCCATGGCAACACTTTCATTTTTTATTAAGTTTGTTAGCTCCAAGAAAATGATTTGCTAACTTCAGTTTTTACTGTTTTATTGAGAAGTTTTCGTCAAGTGAATGTAATAATTTTTGGAAACTTCTACACTCAACAATATTAAATGCCTGTGAATCATCAATGATAAATGAAATTAAATTTTGTCGTATCAATTCATATTCACTTTCAGTTCTAATAAATTGATTTATAATTATATTACTAGATCGACTAACACTATCCTTAAATATCCTGTGCTTACGGGCGAGATGGTTAATTAAATTTGAAGTTGTTGAACCATCCTCATACATGGTGCCACATTCTTCCCCATCATCCAATATAATTTCACAAGTGGAAGTAATACCCTCTTTTCGAAAATAGTCCCAGACGAAACTTTTAGTTCTACGTCTGGACGTATGGGTAATTGTGGTTTGACTACTCTCTTCATTACAGGATTCATCCTGTTCATTGGTGCTTTTGTTTTGCGCCATGTTTGTATTAATGAATTTGTTTCTAAATCGCTTAAATCTCTATATTAAAACTGGCAATTGCAATCAATCACGATATAATTTATTTAAATATTAAAAAATTACGGAAAAATTACATATTATTTATGCCTCATAACAAATTTATTAAATTTTAAAAAATTACGTAAAAATTGCATATTATTTTATGCCTCGTTACAAAATTAATTTAAATTTTAAAAAATTACGTAAAAATTGCATATTATATATGTCTTATTACAAAATTTATTAAATGTAAAATATTAGTCATTTTAAACTTCATTATGCATTAGTAATTAACTTTATGCATTAGTAATTAACTCACGAGTAATCGCGAGTTAAATATTTCATGATTCGAACCACGATTATTACAAATTATTCGAATCACGAGTTGACGAGTCCAGTCACTAGTTCTGGCTATCTTTTCAGGAAATATAAATTTTCTATCTGCAAATGTATAATTTGAATGATTTTCATAAGATGGATATTGCATAATAATAGGTTATTCGATCCAATAGAGCATTTACGATGATTTCTGCGGTGACATATCAAAGTGTAGCCCGCAATCATTCAAAAAATTCTTTTAATTTATGTTTCTCTTTTTTTCAAAGCATAATGATTGTGATCCACACTAGAAGTTTTTATGATAATATCTTTGATCGTGACACTTCTTTCTAGAATTATTTTTATCTGCATTATTAAAGCTAAGCCTTTTTTGCTTTTTCCATAATTTCTTTACTAGCTCGATTATCTCAGATTTCCAAATAAATATAAAAAACAGAAGTAAATGTTTTATGTCATATGCGTAATTTTGTGCGAGACATTTGACGGAAATTCATTATTTTAATAACAAATTTTCCTAATCAAATTACTGTAATAAAGTCTTATGAGAATAGCTAAAATTATGTCATAATATTTGTGTACTATTTCGATCATTTGTTTGCGAACTCCCTAAATAGTTCAATTGCTGAATACTACAAATTAAATCAATGGAAACATGACTGATATAATAGCATTATAGGTCAGGTGCAACATGAAACAAAAATATTTTTATAAAAAATATACCGGTGAAACCATATAACAAAGTTTAGCTTAATATATATATACTGAAAATTTTTTGGTAGAGCAATTTCATTGACTTTTTTTTAAATAAAAACTTAAAATTGCTTTTCACGTTGTATCTGATTTTAAGGGTTTATTTCGAATTAATTATTAGGCTGCGAGTATAAAATTAGTTTATAACAAATAGAACCTTACCATAATAATTATTGTCATGAAATCTAAAAATTCTATTGGCCATTCTTAGATCACCCTAATCCTAACCAATCAGATGTTTTAATTTCAGCATTATCCGCGACAATTATTAAATAATCCATTTTAATTGTTATATATATGAATTAAAAATAATTAGTCTGTACGTAAAACGCGATCAGGGCAGCCACCGATTTTACGAGTCATGTGGGTGGCATTCAATATGCACAATATGCAATACATGGTCAAAATTTTCATAGCGATACACTATAGATCTAATACTGATTCGTTTGCAACAATTGTTTCAGGTGGCACTGCCCACATGACCCTAAAATCGGTGGCCGCCCTGGTGTGTCTCGTACGTACGTAAGTACAAGGCCACGAAATTTTATTTTATTGGCTCTCGTAGCATTAAATAGACCCGGCTTTTTTTTTAATTTTATATATAAAAATTAATAACTTTTTAAAATTTTTTAAACCCTTACCGTTTATTTAAACATATAAAAAAATTTTATAAAATTTTTAAATCATAAAATGAATAAATGAAATTCTCTAATTAATAATATTTGAATTGTTGTAATTTATTAGCATATGAGTATATAAATTGAAACAACTAATACTTTAATAAAAAATATTTAACTAAGTATTGTAAGTGTAGGTTTGAAGTTAAGGACCTCTGCTAATTTTTTTTTTCCATTAGGACCAATCTTATTATTACAAAGATTTAAATAAATTAGCGAAGTGTCACGAAGAACCTCTGAAAATATATTTCCACCCTCAGAGTCAATATTATTACTACAGATGTTTAGTAAATTTAACGTATTGTTCATTCGAAGGGCCTCTGCCAACGGTTTTTCTCCCTCATTATTGAGTTTATTAAAACTAAGATCTAATGAAATTAGAGTAGTGTTCACGCAAAGAGCCCTTGCAAATGCTTCCCCTCCATTGGGACCAATCTGATTGTAACCAAGGTTCAAAGAGGTTAAAGTTTTGTTTTTATGAAGTGCCTCTGCTAGCATTCTTCCTCTTTCAGGGCCAAGACAATTAGAGTAAAGATCCAAGGAAGTCAATGTAGTATTTTTACGAAGAGCTTCTGCTAGTGCATTTCCTCCTTTAGAACCAATTTCATTAACACCGAGATTCAAAGAAGTCAACGTAGTGTTTTTATATAGAGCTTCTGTCAGCATGTTTTCTTCTTCAAATCGAATTTGGTTATTACAAAGGTCCAAAGACTTTAAGCCAGTGTTTTTACAAAGGGCTTTTACCTCCTCTAGGGCCAAGTTGATTAAATCCAAGATTTAAGGAAGTTAGAGTGTCGTTATTGTAAAGGGCTTTTGCTAAACAGGGGTTAAATCGCCACCCAAAAAAGTTACAGATCATGTGATTATTACTATACGGTAGATCCCCCTATGACGATAAGATATTATAAAAATTTTTTTATATTAGTACCCCTACCAAGTATTATATAAAAATTTATTTTTTACAATTTAT